CTGAGACTCTCCAGGCTGGACTGGACTGACTGGACTTGGAGCTGGATTAGTGATTCACTGGGATTATAATCAGACGCGCACTGACACTCTGAGACTCTCCAGGCTGGACTGGACGGTGCTGGTGTTGACACTGACATGATCTAGACCAGTATTCAGGAACCTACCAGAGGAGGCAGTGTGGGACAGAAGGAGACTCGCAGTGCTGCTTCCTCAGGGGAGGCAGAGAGAGGAGGGGGAGGGCGGGGGGGTCGAGAGGGCGGGGGGGAAGCGCACTGCGAGTCTGTTGTCTGTGCGTCGCTCGGCTCTTGCACTATAACGATCAGGAGAGAAGACGTGAGCACAGTCAGATCACACATGGGGAGAGAGAGGCAGCCTGCGGACCTGCAGCGGCGCTGGGCCGGCTTCTCTCCCCATCCAAACAACCAGCAACACAGCGGCAGAACCCGGGCCTGGCCGCCCCTGGGCTCCGGTGGGGGTGCGCCGGAGGCGGAGGAGGTGGAGGAGGAAGAGGGGGTCCTGACGGAGACCCCAGGGGTCGTGGGTCGCGGGGCGGGGGGACTGGGTGTGAACCGCACATGAGGACACCTCGGACTGGTGGGCTGGGCTCTGGGGGAGGCGGGAGACCCCCCCGACTCTGACACACACTCGCACACGGACGCCGTGTCCCCCAGTCGGGGCCCTGAGCCCCTCCTCCCAGCCCGCACTACTGTACTGCAGCGCCAGTAGAAGAGCAGACCTCGAGTGTGCAAGGGTGCGAGGGGCGTCATCAGCGGGCGAAACGCTGCCCTGCCCTGCCCTGCCCCTGAGGCCTCTTTCCCGGCCGATAAGCGCAAGTCGGCAGATTCTCTTGGAAATAATTTTTCGTTCTGCCCTGGCCGTGCCCCTGCGCACAGGCAGCGACACACCAGGCCGGACTCACCCCGGGCACAGCCACCCCAGGAAAAACGCTTTCCCTCCCAGAGCTCTGTTCTATTAAACACAGCTCATCTCATCTGTCCCGGTACAAGGACCGCAACGCGTACGTTTCAAGGTCAGCTGAATAAGGGGAACTCTCCAACACCTCACTGCTTTGTAGTATTAAATACTTTGGTCTTTCCGTGTACAAAATACGCAGCAGGTCAACGGATCAGTCGAAACAGGGCGACTAAATAAAGGCTTTCTATTAAAACCTAGACTACCGACAGCATGAATCCTGATAATTGTTTTCTTTTTTTTACATAAGATGAGTCTGAAAACTGTAAAAAAGTTCAACTTGAGCAACGCGTTAATATTTTATTCTCCATCCCGACTCTCGGCTCTGAAAAGCCCCCATTCCGCCAGGAACCGGGGGGGGGGGGTGACCCCCTTCAGCGGAGCCGCTCCCACGCGGGATTCAGAGAGGGGCGCTCGTGAGCACCCCTGTTACACCCCGAGACCTCGCACTCGAGCACACAAAGGGGCGCAAGACGGCAGATGTGCGTATCGGGACAGGGCTGGGGAACAGGCAGGACTGCCCCCTGCAGACGCCCAGGGGAACTGCAGCAGGAGTCCCAGGAGCCCGGGGTGTCACTGCAGAGGGGTCCAGAACCGAGCATCGGGGCCCGGCTGGACCAGGAGAGACACAGAGGGGTCCAGAACCGAGCGTCGGGGCCCGTCTGGGTCAGGAGAGACACAGAGGGGTCCAGAACCGAGC